CCCAGTCACCATCAGTTCTGAGGAAGGGTCACCGGACCCGAAACGTTAGCTCTGTTTTCTCCTCCACAGATGCTGCCAAACCTGCTGAGCTTTTCCAGCAACTTTGTTTTTGTTCCTGATTTACAGCGTCCACAGTTATTTTGGTTTTTATTACAGTGTTCTAGGATGTGCAATCTATTGCTAAAAGAATAAGGGGATATAATTTCATAAATTGCTGATCATAAATATGTCAGGAGAATCTTTGCACAGGCCATATACTTACTCAAGTATTTCACATTTATTGTGGTTGTAGCATAGCTCTGTGAAAATGAATGCATGATTTACATATATGATGGCTATAAAAGCAACAAGAATATCTTTTGTACAAAAAATTGTTCCGAAACCCACTCAACTGGCATTAATATTTATAGCTCTGTTGGCTGATTAGTTTAAAAATAAACCATTACTGCATGACTGATAAGTAAATACTTGATATGAAGCAGTTTGTGATGTTTATCTTACCACTTGAAAATTCTTCCTGCAACTGCTCATTCTAACAATAATTATTTCATTGTAACTTAATTGGGAATAAAGCAGGAACTGTAAATAAATACAATAGAGGAGACTGTAAAATTCTGAAATGTTATTTGGCGTTTCAAGGGTAATGTTTTGAAGTCTTGAGACTAGGCACACCCATTCTGGATATTTCTTAACGAATTCGCCCTTTTCGCATGGTATATATAAGGGCATTTTCTTATTGTTTATGGAGTGTGCTGTAAAGATGTGCATCATGTTCTCCTTAGTTATGTACATTGATCAGAATATCACCATACACATTTCAGGTGGCTGAACTTCCTTCCATAATGTCTCATTGAAATATCTCTGCTGCTGAAGATATACTGAATGCTAACATATAATTGCTTCAGACCAATATATTTTGCAACCATTTAGCAGCTTTAGCTTATGATATTTACATTTTTAAATCTAGCTTTGATAAAATCCACAGGCTAAGAGTTTTTGTTTTGTACATAATTGCACAAATTGCACTACGGTCCTAAATAAAAACCAAAAGAACTGCGGATGCCGGAAATCAGAAACACAAACCAAGCTTTTCCAGCAATTTTAGTTTTTTGTTGTACTACGGTACATTAATTTAATGAAGTAATTTTCCTCAAGTTTCAGCTTAAGCCTAATTGCATGTACCAAATATACCAAGCCAGATTTTCCGAGGAGCGGTAGACTGCAATTTATGTCTTAGAAAAGCAAGGAACTCTGCATTTCTGAGAGGAGATTCCAGTCAGGGCTCCTTCAGTAATGTGGAGCGTCCTTCCATTCTGACAGTTCTTTTGCAGTGCAAATCTGTCAGGGAATGACAAACAAAGCCCCCCCACTTCTCACAGCAGGCAGCTGTCATAACCCAGTCTGGTTGAGTGGGGAGGTGAGGGGATTGTCATGTTGGCTTGCGTTCAGGGATGGGGAATGAGTCTGGTCTGACAGTGAGGTAGTTTCAGGTCCGATCTCCTCCAGCAAGGGGATGTCAGTAGTGGAGCAGGGATGGGGAAGCATGTCAGGTGGCTGGAGGAAAAGTGTCGGGTTGGGTCTGACAGTGGGGTAAAGGGGTATCGGTGGTGTGCAGCATGGGAAGGATGTGTTGGGTCCCAGGAATTGTTGGCTCGAGCTTTGGGGTCGGGGTGAGGATTGAGGGGCTGGAGCGGATGAGTAGTTTGGTTATATATGGTAAGTATGGGACCTGTTGAATAGTTGCTCTATATTTAACATTCTAATTCTTCCTGAGTAACTACCTAATTTCATCGATTTAAATGGAGACTTTCAGAGGGCTCCAGGTGAAGAGGAATTGTCCAACGGGAAATTCAATGTCCTGGACAATTGCCTCAGAGTTTGCTGTGATGGGGATTCCACAGCGATGCCGTGTGCAACTCCATTCTACACTGGAGTAACGACTGTCAGGCCAATGGAAAATCTGGACAAATATCTTCCATGAATCAGCGCAATTCAGCCGTGTTTTGGAATGCATTGCTTTGATATTCCATACTAAAATTATTCTTTAGGAGTGATAACGCAGTGCAATTTTAAAGATAGAGCTGAAAATGGTAACACAAGCATTTTTAGTCAGCATGATCTGGCCATCATCTGTGAGTAAGCCAATTTAAAATATAGAAAATGGCTAAATAACACAATGCGGAAGTATTTGCAAGTCACCTGGATGCCCAGCAATTAGTAATTCGAAACAAAAGCTGAATTTTAAGAGTCTTGAGAAAGGTTTACAAATGGAAGCAATTAGTAGAAATTCCCAATGATGATCTGGGGCATGGCTAAATTTGAGCCTGAGGCAGTTTTCAGTATAATTTTTACAAATCTAGGACAAACACCAGCTATTGGGAAGTATTATAACTGCCAAGGAGAGGCACAATCTCAGAGTATGATGCGTGAAAGTGAGTGTCACATCAGAATATGATATGGCCTTGGTAATGTCCAGGATTGGCATGGGTGGATTTGTAGGTGGAAGGGGAAACTCTGTGCAGCTGTTAGGAAAGCCATTAAAATATGCAAACTGGTCATTAGTTTGAATTTAACCCAACATTCTGACTTCAGCAGCCAGTGGACCTATCACCTGAGTTGACGACAACATACCAGGGTCAAGGATGTGACAGCATTGCAAGGCGATTGCAAGGTAGGCTGCAACAGTTCAAGAAGGCAGCTCACCACCACCTTCTCAAGGGCAACTAGGGATGGGCATTAAATGCTGACCCAGCCAGTGATGCCCACATCTCACAAATAAATAATAAAAGAAAGACATTATCCAATGTAAGTGATAGACTAGGAAGCCTTCAAGTAGCAATGTTGAATGTCTGCAGCCCTGTCTGAATGAGAGATAACTGCTCATAGTACTTCTGTTCAGAATATGTTTTCTCTGCTTCAGAAGCATTTTCCGATATTTTGGAAGACACTTCATTCAACTTGCTTTGCAATTCCCAGCTGTCAGCCTTCATCATAGTAGTTTAAACAGCCCTACCTTAAACTTTGAATTAAGAACAAGAGGAACAGTCATTTTAACACCACCAGAAGCAGGAGTAATATCAGCAGCAGCACCAGGTTCCTTCACCTCACCAACATGCTTTTCCAGAGGGATGAACAGTAAGGTTCAAGTGAAGAAGGCAGGACCCCTAACATGGGATCTACAGGCAGAGAATCAGCTCTCTCAAGATGTTTGATCACCTTTCATCCTAATGATGGAAGACATTCTAAACAATGGGTATGCATTGTCAGTAGTCAATATGGTGGCTATTACTAAAGAACTAGCACTCAATCCACCTCCACTATTCCCTGGTTCTCTACCTTTCTCTGGACTGGTGCTCTCTTTCTTCATTTGCAAGGAAGGAAAACAGAGACTTAAAAATGTGAGAAATGGATTTCATGAAGAGGAGAACATTTGTGGACAGTGTCTGTCTGGAAGCATGGATACAAGATGGTAATAGGCTGAGGGGGAATGTGAATATTGACTATTCAGAGGGGCATGTGGGGTACCTCAAGAGAAATCAATGAATGGAGCTGCCAGTTCTGTTGGTCTGAGGGGTGCTGTGCAGAAGAATGCTGAGAGAGACAGAGTGTGGGATTTGATACATAGAAATGCGGCTTTGCTCAGTTCCTACCATGCTGACATCCTTGAACTTCTTGAAAATCTTGGTGTTTGGCTCCAGCTTCAAGGGATCTCACTCTTGCTGCTTACTGTCCTGACCATTTCCACATGGCCTGCTTGATTTGAGAGGTTCTTACTGTCCTCAGCAAAGCAGCACACATCACTTCAATCCCTCAGATCTGATAGTAGCACCTCCAGATCAGGGTAACATATTTCAGGTACAGCCTTGGGTCTCCTCTAATTTCTGTTTTATTGAGGCCTTGTGATTTAATATATAGTGCATTTCTGAATCTGGGCTGCACCAAAAATCCTTTCTTTATGGAGTACATCTTCATCTCACCTACCTTCTCTAATGGTGCTAAAAAGGCAAGAGTGGGATTCTATTGCTCTGGTTGAGTTAAAGCGCCACAGCAAAACCCTGTTTCATTACAAATGGATTCCTGATCCACTACACAGCTCCATTTACATGCTGGTCCATTCATGTGAGCTTCCATCAATAGAGTCAGCCCATTTAAACACAATCTGTTCATGGGTTGTAACTTGCTTTGATGTTAGCATTCCCATTACCTGATAATATCTTGTCCTTTCTGCCACATACAAAATGTTGTTTTTCAGAGTTCCCTCTTCCCAGCTTAAAACACTGAAATATGGTTGTTCAAACGCAAAATGAGTACAAGATGCATATCTTGAGAATTGCATATTACTGAGATAGATATTGGACCATTGGTTACTGTGTGAATATATGATTTTTGACTTATTCTAGATATACAAAGACCTATGTTTGAGTGTACCCTGTGGAATATAAAAAAGTTAATTATGTTCACACCTATAGGATAGAAACATATCTGGAATTTTTCTGCAATTGTCTCTTTTTTGAGATGTTTTGACCATTTCTCAGGATGTGATCTGGATGACTGAAGCAGCAAGCCTTGTGGTTAGCCTTTTCCACAACAAACCAATTGAGAGCCCACCTTCCGTCTTCTCTCAGTTAGAGGTCTGGTAGGATGATATGGCCATTTTGCCAGAGGAAGGATTTTGAATTGTATGAGCCACCATATGTTAGAAGGAAGCACACCCGGACATAGATGTTTAATGCTGCAGCATCCACAGGAGTAGAGGGGCAGCCGGAGAAAGCTGGCTCCTGGGATGCATCCAAGAGAAACAAGGGGTCTACAGCAGCAGGCAGAGGGCATATTCTTTAGCCAAAAAGACATGAATGGAAATGACCCAGAAAATCAGCAGCAGTGTGGCTCCTGGCAAAATTGTAGAGAGTGAAGAAGGGGTTAACCCTGTCAGGTGTTAAGTACCACACTTAGACTTAGCATTCTCCAACTCACCACATTTCATGTGTTTTTCTCTCTAGATGTGCCGTGAATTCTCATCTGAACAGGCAACGTTCACAATGAGCCTCAGGTCCGTACCATTATCACAGCCTACCTCCATGCATCCATGCCTCACGGTCACCTGTATCAGTTCTTTGAAAATAAACCATTTCTAAGAATCCCATCTCCCTGTCAAGAATCAAAGATGTGGGATTGTGGCATGTCGGATGTGGGGATGATGTGGTTGGTTTGGCAGGGAAGGCGAGGTCGTCAAGTGATACACATATAGTTAGCCGATGGCAAGCATGCCCACCTGGTTCTCTAGGACAGATGAAGATATCAGCCATTAGAACCTGAAATACTGGCATTCACACATGTTGGAAAAGCTGACTTTCTGCTTGAAGCGCCTATGTTAGAACTCTCAACTCATTCCACTTTGATTTCAACACCCATACCCTCAGTCCTAAGCGCTTGTTTGTGCCTGAAGGTGTTATTGTTGTTGTTACTCCAACAATTTGGAATAGAGATCTCCCTTCCTTGAAATTCCAGTTGCGGTGGACAGTATAGCTGCACAAGTCAATCTGAAGGTTGGCAGCATGAAAGTGCAGATGCAGGTGGGTAAAAGAGCTGGTTGAGGAGAGGTAGCACTACCTAACAGAAGGAATGCTTTGCAAGAGAGCTTTGCAGCCTGGCCATGTCTGCAGCTCTTCACTGCCACTGATGAATCCTCCATAGTTTGTCACTTTCACTGAGGCAGTTACTCCTGCTGTGCCCTCAACTTTTAAAACCTGCCACAGCATCAGACAGTTGAAGGAAAGGATTTCATTGGGAAAATCCCTAATATTTTTCTCTTCAATTTGTTTAATTACCTTGCTACCTCAGCTGCCAGGTTCCTGACTGCATCAGCTGACGCTAAGAAGACCCTGACTAGCACAATTTTTTTCTGAAGTTTTCTCTACATCACCCCGATATCATTTTCCAGGGGACTTGAGAATAGCCCTTCTAACGATAGTGAAAAGAAGTGGACCATGCACCCCAAAAAATCAGTGCTTGCTGCTTCGAAGAGCAATGTAGTTAATCCCACCTCACTGCCCTGCTGGGTGGGACAGTCGTTCAGTGATTAGCACTGCAGCCTCACAGCCACAGTGACCTGGATTGGATTCCAGCCTCAGGCAACTGTCTGTGTGAAGTTTGCATGTTCTCCCCGTGCCTCTGTGGGTTTCCTTCGGGTGATCTAGTTTCCTCCCCCAATCCAAAGATGTACAGATTAGATTGATTGGCCATGCTAAATTGCCCATAGTGCCCAGGGATATGCAGTTTAGCTGGATTAGCTTTGGGAAATGCAGGGATATGGGGTGGGTCTGAGTGGAATGCTCTTTGGAGGGTCGGTGTGGACTTGATGGGCTGAAAGGCCTGCTTCCACACTGCAGGAATTCTTTTAAGATTTTCCCAAATCCCAGCAATATGTCGTCCTTCAAGGATTATACAATTCCCTTTTGAAAGCTACAGTTAAATCTGTCTCCACAATCCTTCACTATAGCCCATTCCAAATCTTACCTATTTGTTGCATTAAGCTTGATGAACTCTAATGTCTCCTAATTGAATGCCTAATAACTCGTCATATATATTTTGAAATACTTTCATTCCCAAAAACTCATGTTTGCTTTTCTGATTGTTTATTTAAAAGGAAAAGCCCTTGACTTTTAAAATAAAACAAGCCAACACAATCTCAAAATAGCTCACCACCATCTTCTGAAGGGCAATTATAAATGGACAATAAATGCTGACCTAGCCAATGATGCCCTTATGAAAAGAAAACACAAACACAACATGGTTTTTGTTTCAGCTAGAGATTATCTAATTATTCAGTCTGGTGTTGGAAGGAGAACATAAGAACCAATGGAAAATAGGGCAAAAAACAATCAAGCAGAACATCATTTACGAGAATAAAACCCAATTATAGTGACCCTGTAGTTGAACTGACTGAGATCAAATAGTTCAGCAGAGTCCAGTAATCAAATTCCTGGTGTGCACAACTAATCTATTCTCTGCCTATACTTGTCAGGGCAATCGGTAGAGATGCAGTTTTTGCTCTTAATGATCCTGATGTTTAAGTTAGCTTACTCTCAAATAGTAATTCCTTCTCCTCTGACCTCCATGAATTATGATGATAGTCAGAGGTGATCAAGTACAATGCAGGATAAGACAGATTAAGAAAACAAGGGTTTATGAATGCCAAAAAAGCTCAAAATCAGTATGACCTCTGTGGGCCAAATCTCCTTTTGACTTTTTAACATTTTATTGATACATTTATCTGCTATACACTGCAGAGATAGATATGTTCTAAATAAATGAGGAAAAATGATGCATTAATTTTCAATGGGCCTGGTTTTGAATGAATGGTTGACTACTGAGACAATGAGTATAAATGCAGCCTTTGTGATATGCCCTGCATGGTGTAATTCAGTACTTAGAAAATACTTCCACCTGATTTTCTCCCTCTTTCACCTTTGCAAATTATTGTTAATATCAAAATTGATTTTTTTCAAGTCTTGTTATGTCACAGCAGCCTCCGTGATCATGAGAAGTAATCTACTGTTTCTTTTGTGTCTAAAAGTTGTTGCATTGCAAAAAAAAACAAGACAGCCAGGTTTAAACAAAACATAGTGTGCCTGATATTTATTTTGAGGTGTAAGTGAGCACCATATGTCATGCAAGCAGATGAACTATACAAATAATATGATTCTTCTAGTACAAAACATTAAAACTGAAGTTACCATGTAACACACTGGAAACAATATGTTTTAAACAGCAGTAACATATTTTATATCGGATAATCAACACTTAACCACATTTTTAAGCAGAGTATTGCTATTTTAAATAAAAGGTTTCTATTTTGAAAATAATTTAATTATTAACAATTAAACAATAGGGAGAAAAAGAACAGCCACTTCTGACTGGTTTCAAATGAACATCATCCGAGTTCACTGGTTGCCATATTAGAATATAATTTACATAATTAGGTTCACCGACTGCCATATTAGAGTATAATTTACATAATTAGGTTGTACTACTCTGCACCATAAAGTGAAAATATTTAAATAGGATTTGAACAGCTGAGCACACATACAGCCTGAAATGACATTTTTTTCCATTAGCTTGCACGATGCTAAACACAACATGAAGTACATTTATTTTAAGTCTAAACTTTATGATTTTGTTTAAATCAAATCAAATTTAAACTGGATTAATTGAAGGTTTTATTTTTGTTTTTATTCATTTTAAATCAGTTCAGGTTTTGGGTGTCATTATTTGCAATGATGAACAATTGCAGCTTTAATATTTGTTCCAACAGCTGTCCACTTATTGGCCACAATGTTCAGTTCCATAGCAAAGGCGGCCCCACTCAGTCACTCAAGATGCTATTTTGGTGAAGCTGTCAGCATACGTGCAGGGAGCATTGACTAAGAGTACATAGAGTAGGCTGATTGGAACATCAATCAGCTTTAACACTCATCTTGGAACTCAATATTTCAGCTAACTGCGAGCAGCTGAACATGTCTTTGACCACAAAAAAGATCCTCAAACAACAGTATTTACGAGGGTCATCAAGTATGTACTACTTAGTCACTGACTGATTTCTACCTCCTCTTACAGCAATTGTAAGAGCGTTTGGTGGTTCCCAGAGCTGTTTAAAGTTGCTAAAATCGTACGGTATAGAAATTGTCTTGATTTCAAGGTTTATACACAGCACGTATACAGTTATGTAGACTCCCTTGGACTACAGCATGACAGGGAGAATGAGAAGAGGTAACCCAGAGGAGGACAAGCTGTTGGAAGTAGGAGGAGAATGAGAGTGAGAAAGGCTCTTAGCAAAAGTTCATATCTTCCCATGGTATTCACGAAGCTATTATCTTATTTCAGTATCTTCAAGGAATATTATATAATTTCTCATTAAGGACCTCTTTTATCTGGATTCTTCTAAGCTGCAGCAGGTGATATTTGCAATATTTACAACTTTGTCATCTATTCTGGCCTATTGGATGTCACAGGGGCCCCCAAGAGAATGAAGTATGTTACATTCTATCTTGCATGACAGAGGCCAGCTCTGCAAGTACATAGCTTCAATTGGTTGCAGCCTTCACCATGTTGCAAAGCAGTAGTGATTGTACACATGTAAGTTTTCAGATGTATAATGTCAATTTGGAGATATAGCACAACCAAATAGCATTCTATGTCCCCAACACTGAGCTTGAAGGATCCATACAGAGTTTATCAGCCGTGATCCTCTTGAATGGCGGAGTAGGTTCGAGGGGCCAAACAGCCTATTCCTGTGATACCAAGGTGTAGAGCTGGATGAACACAGCAGGCCAAGCAGCATCAGAGGAGCAGGAAGGCTGACGTTTCGGGCCTAGACCCTTCAACAGAAATGGGGGAGGGGAAGGAGGTTCTGAAATAAATAGGGAGAGAGGGGGAGGCAGATAGAAGATGGATAGAGGAGAAGATAGGTGGAGAGGAGACAGACAGGTCAAAGAGGAGGGGATGGAGCCAGTAAAGGTAAGTGTAGGTGGGGAGGTAGGGAGGAGATAGGTCAGTCCAGGGAGGACAGACAGGTCAAGGAGGTAGGATGAGGTTAGTAGGTAGGAGATGGGGGTGGGGCTTGAGGTGGGAGGAGGGGATAGGTGGGAGGAAGGACAGGTTAGGGAGGCGGGGACGAGCTGGGCTGGTTTTGGGATGCGGTAGGGGGAGGGGAGATTTTGAAGCTTGTGAAATCCACATTGATACCATTGGGCTGCAGGGTTCCCAAGCGGAATATGAGTTGCTGTTCCTGCAACCTTCGGGTGGCATCGTTGTGGCACTGCAGGAGGCCCAGGATGGACATGTCATCTGAGGAACGGGAGGGGGAGTTGAAATGGTTCACGACTGGGAGGTGCAGTTGTTTATTGCGAACCGAGCGTAGGTGTTCTGCAAAGCGGTCCCCAAGCCTCTGCTTGGTTTCCTGATGTAGAGGAGACCACAACAGGAACAGCAGATTCAGTATACCACATTGGCAGATGTGCAGGTGAACATCTGCTTGATGTGGAAAGTCTTCTTGGGGCCTGGGATGGGGGTGAGGGGGGAGGTGTGGGGACAGGTGTAG